TTTCTCCATCAGTTTCTTATGTTTAGACATTGGACAAAACCTATTTTTTGCCCATTTCAGAGGTGTGAAAACTCACACTGAAAATTTCTTTCTTTCTTTTTTTTTATTTTTATTAACCAAGTGCTTACTATGTTCCAGACACTGTGCTAAGCAATATACTATGTTTATACATATTGCAACCTGTCTATGGTTTAGCAGATGAGTCCTAGATAGTTGTTTGAGGCATATAAATGTTGAATGACTTGCCCAAGGTCACACAGTGTCAGACACAAGATTTAAACCCAAGTCTTCTTGACCTAAGCCTGTCAAAGTGCTACCTTAAACCTTATTGTCTCTTTTATGTTCTTTTTGTGGCACAAAAATATTCCACTACATGCAGAATTAACTATTTATTCCACCCTTCCACTATCATTGGATAAGTAGGTGGCTTGTTTCAATGTTTTTTTAAAGTATAAATGAAGCTGCTATGCATGCTTTTTATGCATAGACATCTCACTCCTGCCATAGGGTAGTTAGGTGGCACAGTGGGTAGAGTGCCAACCCTGGAATCAGACCTGAATTCAAATCTGGACTCATACATTTGCTAACTGTCACACTGAAAATTTAACAATTGGCTCTCATGAACTGATAAAAGCTGACCCCAGTATACCCCTCAGCTGAACCCAGAATTAAAATAAGGTGGTTCCTGAGTAGCTTGCTGTACAAGATATGGACAGATGGAGACTGAATGGACAGGATGCCCTGTGAGGACAGGTTAGCTATTCAATTTTCCCTTCCTCTCAGAGAAGACTTTCCTATGATGTCATGGAGAACAGATTCCAGGGCACCTCAGCCTAACTTCAAGCTTCCCTCTCCCCTTCAGTCTGGAGAAGCTATGCATAGTGAAATATGTACATCACACTCACACTTAAAGGAGCCCGAATAATACCAGAAGTCAAGAGAAGGAATCCACGAATGGGCAGGGACCCCCATAAATTAGGCCTATTCATAGGGGATCCTTTTGACCCCAATACCCCATTAATAGAGGAATTCTCCTTCCTAGCTTTGGGACTCAAGAGTATGCCCTTTACTCACCAAGGAATAAGATTCCTGTCCCAGTAAAAACTGCCATTTTAATAGTGCTTTAAGGCTTGCAAAATACTTTATCTCATTTGTGCCCTCACAAAAACACTGTGCTGTGGAAAGTACAGGTGTTGTTTTGCCCAGTTTACAGAAAAGGAAACTAAAGAGCAAAGAGGGTAAGAGTGTCACTCATGGTCATGCACACAGTAAGGACTGTAGGCAAGATTCAGACCTTGTTGTTGTTGTTGTGGTTGTTGTGGTTGTTGTTTGTTGTTGTTTCAGTCCTGTCCAACTCTTCATGATCCTATTTGGAGTTTTCTTGGCAAAAATACTGGAGTGGTTTGTCATTTCCTTCTCCAGCTCATTTTACAAATGAGAAAACTGAGGCAAACAGAGTTGAGTGACCTGAGCAGGATCACACAGCTAGGAAGTGTCTGAGGCCAGATTTGAACTCATGACAGGGAGTCTTCCTGACTCCAGGCCTGGAACTCTATCCACTGTGCCACCTACCTACCCAGGAAGATTCAAGCCTAGATCTCTCCTAGTGCCAAATCCAGTCCTTCTACCACCCCACCACCCCCACTATATTATATTACATCTCTGATATAGATATATTCCTGTCTGACCTTAGAAAAAGTAATGAACAGTTCCTCCCTTCCCACCCACCCATTGTTACCAAGGCCTTCTAGAAAAGTTTCTCTTTAATATGATTAATATAATTGTACATGTATAGCCTATATCAGATTGAATGCCATCTTGGGGAGGAAGGACTGGAGAGGGGGAGAAAATTTAGAACTCAAAATCTTATAGAAGTTAATGTGGAAAACTAAAAACATAAATAAATAAAATGTAAAAAGAAAAGAACAGTTTCTCCTTGATCCGTGGCCTAGTGTTTCTTCACTCTTTCCCCTTCTCTTCCTGTCCCATATTTTCTTGCCCTCTTTCTCTCCTTTCTAGCATTTCAATACTAGTGAAGATGAGAAAGATGATGATAACTTAGTTTCTCTATCATGATTTATAGTTACAGGGATGCTGAAGACCTGGAGAGCCTGTTGCTAGCCACGTATATATAAAGGCAAGAATTTGAAGTAAAGGCTGAAGGCAGAGGGCAAGGACTTAACAGTATTTGGCTTTGGTGACTGCTGTTACCTTGCCTCCTCCTTACCTTGCTGTTATCTTGCCTCCTCCAATATTATTTTGCATGGCAGACCCGAAGGACCTTGGGATGACTGAGCGAAAATACTGGAAAATACAGACAGCTTCTATTGGGTTTGTCTGGCAGGGCCCCCCAAAATGGGTTTGGGGGCATGGGTTAACTACAAGGGTATCAAATAGGACACCTTTTTAACCCTAAATGAGATAAATGCATGCAATAAGATTCAGATCCCATTAGCAGAAGGAAGTGGGTTCAAAGACAGATAAAATATTTGAGGATAATAATTAGCTAACTTGACCATTTCATGCTCTCAAAAAGCTTGATACCTTAAAACTGAATTTGGGGACTGAAAGACCTCTCTCTCCTTTTGGAGAGAAAAGCCACTGAGTCTTTTTTTTTTCCCCTGTGCCTCTTATGCTCTTGCTCCTGTGGGGAAGAAATAGCTGAGGACTCTAGCTGATGCCCAGGAGGTGGAAACAATGATAGATGTGCAAAGAGAGAGGAGGGGATTAGCAGAGATGAGATGGGATACAACTCCCATCAAGAAGACAGGCCAACAAGAACAGTGTGAAGCTATCACTGAAAGATATGAGTGACTTTACACAGAAGAGGCAAGAGTTGTCCCTCTACTGGTGACATGGGCCACACCTATTCCTTGTGTGTGTATCCTTCATTCACTGTGCCTGGTCACACACACTTCTTATATGTGTGTGCCCCTCCACATTTGTCTCCTAAACACATCGACTATTTCTGCTGATACTCTATGTGTTTGTGAAAGTAGACCCAGATTTGTGGTACAAATGTTCTATTGCTCCTTGTCTCACTATTTCAATGCCTTGGTTTTAGACTACTTATGTGCTTTGTGTCATTAGAAGTTAACGCATTGGTGGGGGCTTGTGAACTATAAGAATTTAGACCCATACCTTGAACCTGGGTAGCTTTTTGAAGGGCCTAAATGTAAAACAAGGTTCCTCCAGATGATACATAATGCTTCAAATACACTCAAATACATATTTTAACTCATTTAATTTCTACAAAATACTGAGGGGTGGGTAGTGCCAATATTATTATTTCCATTTGACAGATGAAGAGACTGAAGCTCAGAGAAATGAAGGTTATGCCTCTAGATATTAATAATAGAACCAAACCTAGAATCTAGTTATTCTGGCTCTTAGTCCAATGATCTTTCCATCGTTCAGTCGTTTCCATCACGTCTGACTCTTTGTGACCTCATTTTGGGGTTTTCTTGGCAAAGATACTGGAGTAGTTTGCCATTTTTTTCTCCAATTCATTTTACAGATGAGGAACTAGGCAAAAAGGATTAAGTAATTTGCCCAAGGTCACACAGCTATTAAATGTCTGAGTCTGGATTTAAACTCCAAAAGATAAGTCTTCCTGACTTCAGATCCAGCACTCTATGCACTGCACCACCTAGCTGCACTAATGAGCTTTCTACTTCATACAAATTTGAGGAAATCCTTGGGATTGAAACTTGGTGATGGTGAGACATGAAGAACAGAAGCAGAAGCTAGATAATGGGAGCAGAGATGGGGTTGAAGCCTTGTTCTTTGACAGAAAAGGCACAAGATGAACCTTATGACTGGTAAGTAAAGGTTACAGGGATCTTATTTTTGGGTGCTAACTGGTTCAAGGTCACTTTCCCCATACCCTTCTCAGTGATCCTCTTCCCTCCTTATTCTTGAGTTCTTCCCCACTCCAGATTCACTATGTAATTGGGTTGACAAGGACTTCATCTCTTTTTCTGCTCTACTTCCTGACAGTACACACCACAGCCAGCACACAAGTGGGGATTCAGTCACAGATGGCAATAAGTCACAAATGGCAACCAGCTATGTCATAGCACTCAAATGGATTCTCAAATGGAGCCCCCATTTCTCAGTGAGTAAAATGTCTAACATTGTAGTTACTCCCTTGGGTTCAGGTATTCTTTCATCACATTACACAATCACTGGAAGAGATAAAAGAGATAAAACTTGCAACCATAAAGGTAATACACTATTGGGAAGCACACTGGAAGAGAAATCAGTAGTGCTGGGCTATAGTCCTAGTCCTGCTACTCTCTAGCTATGACGCTTTGTTCAAGTTGCTTCATCTTCTTTTCTAGACTCTAGTTTCCTCATTAAAAGAAGAGATTTTCATTATATGATCTCCAAGTTCCCTTCCATCTCTGGAGTCCTGCAGACTAGGATATCATGATTCTAAGGAACTAGGACACCATGGAAGGTGGTGAGTGAGTCTTGGCTGGGGCAAATGGCAGGAATATTTCAAGAAATCTCTAAAGCATGGGATACCACCCAAACAGTAGGAGAACTCTATGCATCTGTGGTCTGGGAGAGAACTTACAAATATAAGGAAAGGCTGTTGAAATTCATCTATTTGCTCACCTGGGATTTGCCCCAGGACTCTATAGTATGTCTTACTGGCCTACAATGGAAATGTTATTGAATTCAGTCCAAAGTCTCTGTTGCTCAGGATCAATTTTCATTTCTGGTTGAACTGTCGGCACAACCAGTGGGAAGTCATGTTGTTCATGTTGAAACCCAGAAGAGCTCTCAAAGGCAGCCCAGTTCTGCCTTTACTACTAGTGACCTCATTATTGAATCTTGGCTTTTATACCCCTACTGAGTCCAGGACTCAGGGAAGAAAATCTTTGGTTTTCTCCTCTACCCCCTCCTCTGGCTGCTCCACCCTCTGCTTCTCTCCTCCACCCCCTCTGGCTGCTCTGCCCGATGTGTTCCAAGCTGTAGATCTCCATGGCAATGGCTTGTTGTGTGTAGATGGCTGCCCAGGTATCCCTGGTTGGACAGGTTGAATAGAAGGTCCAGGACAGAGCTGATTGTACCCTGTGAGTGTTTTTTTTTCTTTAAATTGGAAGTGGGGCTATGGAATGGGCATATGGGAATAGGCTTGGAGAACTGGGAATATAGTCAACTTTTGGCATAATAGCCCTACACTCTCAAGAAAGTGCCTGGTCTTGTGGCAATAACAGTTAATTCATCTGTTCAACTCAGTGAAGTGTCCTGTAGTTTAAAGAGCATTGGGCTTGGAATGTCTTACCATTCAGCCTCAATGAGCTTCAGTTTCCTCATCTGTAAAATGAGGAAAACAATACACTAAAAAGGTACTCTGGAATAATGAAAAGCATCTTGAACTTGAAGCATAACCAATGCATTTCCAATCTTGTAATTTTAACTCCATAAGATACTAGCATTTATTCTTTTTTTCTCTAATCACATGGATACTACCCTAGTTCAGGCTCTGATAACCTCATGTCTATACTTTTGCATAGCATTGTAATGGGTTCCAGGCATGGAGTACACTTGTCCAAAATCATGGAGGCAGGTGACAAAATGTCAAATGGAGTAAACAGCAAGAAGATCAGTATGTCTGGTCTTTGGCTAGAACATAAAGCACATGTGTAACCAGGTAAAAACAAGAGCTTACAAAGAATTTTAAAATACCCAAAAGAGGAATTTGAATTTTATCCCAGAAGTAGTTGGGAGTCACTGAAAATCCGTGATCAGACGAATGATGTGTGCTTTCAAATTTTTAATTTGACGGTTGTGTGAAGGAGTATGGATTATAGCCAAGGCTGTTACACGGTTGGGCAGTTAACAAAAGTCAGGAGAAGGTTCCAAGCTGAGATTAAATCTGACCTTTTTGCTGATGTTTTTGTTCAGTGTTCATTCAAGATCTGTTGTCCCAGACAACTAACTGATTTAGAGTTGGGAAATTTCTTGTAATTACCATTTAACCCTTGATTGTGAGCATGTGTACCCAAGACAAATTCTGAAGGCTCTGGTACTCCTAAACTCACAGGAGCTGTATGGATGTTGTGGTGATGAAACCTGCCTCAACTCTAAGATCCTCTTTAATTGACAGGCAGAATGAAGTTAGGTCAAAATTTAAAAAAAAAAACAACAAAACAAAACCTGGCAAAGCAAGTGGTATGTACTCCTTTTATCAGTCACATCTTCTATCAACAAAAATACCAAATCTCCTTGCACCAACCCAGCACAGAAGTGCTACTTTTACCATTTTTCAAAATACCTTCATATACATGCTCTTATCTGATTCTTGCAATAGTTCTGCGAAGGGAGAGTGGGCAGGAAGTAGTATCTCCATTTGACAAATGAGGAAACTGAAGTGCAGCAAAATGAAATGATTTGCTAAGGGTCACACTCTGAGTTACTGATGGAGACAGATGAATGAACCAATCTCTGAACTCCCAACTGCTTCTACTATATACCACGGAAAGTGTAGCAAAGGCAGCTCCTGGGGTTGTGAAAGAAAAGACGGTGAAATGTTCCATATACCTAGTATGTACTCAGTAACACCAAATGGAGTCAATTGTATCCAATGTAGCAAGTATGTATTAAATTCCTACTACTGCCAAGATGAAAGGTAAGTGATGGAGGCCTGACCTTGGAGACACAGTTTCAACTCTTGCTTCTGATATATACTTATTGTGCCACTCACCCTCTCACTGAACCCAGGTGACACTTGATGGCTATAAATTGCAGATGACTTGCCCATATGCATTGGTGGAGGGAGTTTCCATATGGAGAGTTTCCATGCAGATGAAATCATGGGTCCAAACCCCACAACCAATCCAAGCCCTCCCCCCAAAAATATGGAAGTCACTGTACTAAACACTGGTAATATAAAAACTAGATAAGACAAAAATTCCCTACCTGAGAAAAGTTTACATTTTACTGGCAGATTTGAGGGAGGGTACATGAAATACAATATGACTTGAGGAAAGAGAACACCAATGACAAGGGTGATCAGGAAACAAACATTCATTGAGTGTACCATACACCGTGCTAAGCACTTTACAAATATTATCTCATTTGATCCTTAAAACAACCTTGGGTGATATGCACTATTATTATTCTCATTTTGTAGTTGAGGAAACTGAGAAAGACAAAAGCATAGAGGCAAAAGGGGGAATGTCAGATTAGTTAACAATAAGTAAATTTGTCTGTCTAGAATAGAGAAGATGGCAAGAGGAACAATGTGAGTTTGGAAAGGTAGACTAGAAGTAGGCTATAATGGATACTAAAAACTTAGTTGAGTAATTTGTATTTGGTTTCAGAGACAATGGAGAGTTCCTGAAAATTCTTGAGCTGGAGAGCAACATGAGTAGCATGAGCTTTAAGAAGATTATTTCAGCATCTGTGCAGAGGAGAAATTGGGGAGAAAAACAAATGGCAGGAGAGAATCCAATTAGGAGACTGTCACAATAGTACAGGTGGTGAGCAGTGTGACGATCTGAACTAGTATGATTACCATGTGAGTAGAAAGCAGGAAACAGATTCAAGAGATGTATTGGATGTAGAATTGACAAAATATGGCAACTTATTAGATATGGAGTAGAGGTGAGAAAGAGGAAGAATTAAGGTTGACCCCCAAAGTTTCAAAACTGAGTAACTAGAAGGAAATGGGAAATTTTGTAGGAAGTACAAGTTTAGGAGAAAAGATTTTGTTCTATTTCGGTCATGTTGAGTTTGAGCTGTCTATGGTATATCCCAGTAGAAATATCCAGGAGGCAGTTGTTATATGAGTTTGTCATGAGCACAGGAGAGAAATGATGGCTGGATTTATAAATTTAGGGTTCATCTGCTTTGTTGCTGTTGTGTCATTCAGTTATGTCCAACTCTGAGTCCGTGGGGTTGTCTTGGCAAAGATACTGGAGCAGTTTGCCATGTCCTTCTCCAGTGTGTTCCCATTTTACAGATGAGGAACAGAGGCAAATAGAAGTTAAGTAATTTGCCCAGGGTCACATAGCTAGTAAGTATCTGAGGCTAGATTTGAAGTCAGGTGACCCTGACTCCAGGCCCAGCACTCTATCTACTGCACCACCTAGCTGTCCAGACATAAATGTAGACTACACCATATACAAGCTTGACTATGAAATGGATATGAAACAATATGAAACAATAACTTTGGGTTTGGCAAGGTCATAAAAAGGTGTTTTGTTGTTGTTGTTGTTATTGGAGTTTTTTTAAGGATGAGGGGGATATGAGTATATTTTTAAACAGCAGGGAAATGGCCAACAAATTAGGAGGCATTGAAGATGAAAAAAGGATGAGGATGATTGTGAAGGTAAACTCCTGAAGGGAAGTCAAGAAAGGGTAGAATCAAGGAAAAAAGTGAAAAAGGGATCTTGATAAAGAGAAAAATCATCTCCTCATGAGAGACTGGAACAAAGAAGGGGAGAATCAGACCTGGTGGTATAAAATAGGGAAGAATAAGGAACTCATAACTAAAGTATCTATATACTCAGTGGTTTTGAAGTGAATTACTCTGCAGAGAAGGAAGGCAGCGAAAGGTGCCTGAGAGTTAAGGAGAGAAGAGAAGGTTCCCACACAGATATGGGGAGTAAGTTAGAAAGTCAGTCATGGAATAAAATAGAAGGAATACCCTGTGGTATTAAGGGCACAGTCAAAATTAGAGAGCGAGTTTATATTTTTCTTGACCCAGTCAACACATTGCTATCTTCTTCAATGGCATTCAGCCACCATAGGGTGGTAACAGAGAAGGGCTTTGTCTGGGCACGAGTGTTGCTAGGACAAGGGGCAAAAAGAGCAGGTGACAGCATGTAGTTGAATTAGTTAACTACAGGGTTAGGAAAGTGGAGGAAAATGAGGACAGAGCAAGGGTAAAGGTTGCATTCCTGTTCCTCATTCAAACAATTGCACTTCTCACTTCAGGAAGGAAATCTCTGGGTTAAAATAAAAAGTGTGAAGCTACAAAGACTGACAGGTAAAGCAAAAAGAGAAGGTATTTATAGCCCTAGACAATTGTTCTGGGAACTAGCTGAAGCTCCCATCCAAACAGCCTTTGCATGGTTTGGGCCACCAGAAGCAGAAAAAGAGGTATACTTCAAGATATATCTGGAAGTCACGGTAATTGGGCTGCTGAAGTAGCCTCCACATCACCAGAAATTGCACATATTCAATAAGGATGCCATTATTATGGGGGAAAGGGACAGAAAATTACCTGTAGCAGAAAGATCACTAGAGCTGGAATCAATGACAATTGTGTGGATTGGAGAAGAGAGAGAAATACGGAGTGGAGAAGGATGGATTGGAGAAGGGAGAAACTGAATTTCTGGGAGACATTTTGATTATTGCAGTAGTTTAGGTGAGAGATATTATTTCTGAATTAGGGTGGTAACCAAGTGAACACAGAGAAGGGAACTGATGCAAAAGATATGGCACCTAATTGGATATACGGAGTTTTGCTCTATCGCTTACTAGGTATATAACCTTGGGGAAGTCACTCCATTTTTCTGAGACTCCATTTCCTTATTTATAGCACTCAATGGGCATTTATAAGATTATAAAAATAACAGGTTTGAAATTACTTTGAAAACCATATATCATGATGTAAATGTGAATTTGTATCTCATAATCGTCATCATAGTCTGTGATGTCAAAATTATTGCTGGTGGCTCTTAGGTTTGTGCTGTGGGAAGTTCATTCCTCTGTCTTCTAGAACTGGGAATTGGAAAGGAACCACCTGACCAAAGGCAATCTTCTCCTCTCTCTCTCTGTGTCTCTCTCTCTGTGTCTCTGTCATTCTGTCTCTGTCTCTATCTCTCTCTCTCTCTCTTTCTCTCTCTGTCTCTCTCTGTCTCTCTCTGCCTCTGTCTTTTTGTCTCTCTCTCTTTCTCTCTGTCTCTGTCTCTCTCTCTCCGTGTGTGTGTCTCTGTCTCTGTCTCTCTGCAGGGTCAGAATCACCATCTTTGGGCCAGTGCTGGTATCCTTGAGTCTTGACCCAGGGAAAATGTTGAACGAGGCTGGTGTCATCATAGTCTCTCTTCTGATGCTGACCATAATGCCCAAAGGTAGGAGCTTTTTTCTCACTTTTTAATTCTTCCATTTATTCCTTCTTGGTGGACCTGCAAACCCTGGATTTGAGTTCTAAACTTCACAAATTAATTAAATTACTTTACGCACACCTTCTTCCTCCAACTAAGAGAGTAGTTAGTACAACTCTAGAAGAAAAGAAAAATAAGTTGTGAAGTCATTGCCAAAGTAACTCCTGGCAAGGTATGGAAGAGCGAAGGTTGAAAGAGATCCTAAGAGATGAACTTGGAGGTAGCTGTCTTGCATGGAGAATAATGTCCACTCTTCAAAGAATTGGCTAATTCGGCATACATAATAATAATTGTAATAATAATAATAATAAATAGCTAACATTTATAAAGTGTTCACTATGTGCCAGACACTGTACTGAGTGCTTTACAATTATTATTTCATTTGATCTTCATAAAAACTCTGGGAGGTAAGTGCTGCTATTATCCCCATTTTACAGATGAAGAAACTAAGACAAAGAGAGATTAAATGACTTACCCAGGGTCCCACAGCTAGTAAGCATCTGAGAATCAGATTTAACTCAGGTCTTCCTGACTCCAAACCCAGAGCTCTAACCACTGAGCAACCTAGCTGCCACCTTTACAGAGTTACCTTATCCATGAAAGGGAAATAATATTACTTATATCACCAATCTCTCGGGTTATTTAGAAGAAAAATGTCTTTATAAACATGAAAGCACTACATGAATATAGGTATAAGGGGGACTATCCCATGAGATGCTCCCTACAGCAAGCATACCCAGATTTGCCTTTCCTGGCAACTAGTAATGGCCAACAATGTGGGGTCCTTAGGTTGTGCTTCTTAGAGTTGCTCTCATTATATAAATTATTATCTTTCTTACCCAAGGGTTCTTAACTTGGGATCCATGGATAGATTTCAGGGGGTCTGAAATCACATCTTTATTTCAATATAGTTGGTAATTTGTAATCTTATATATTTTGTGCCTTTAAAAATATAATTTTGAAAGGAAGTCCAGAGGTTTCTGATTATAATGGCTGCCAAGGGAGTGCATGACACAGGAAAAGTTTAGAATACCTGTTCTAACACTTTTATCAGTGGCCTTAAATTGGATCTCCCTTGTATCTCTCTTGGTACCTCCTGAAATTAAGTTTGGGTTCTTCAAAAAGTGCTTTACTAGAAGAAACTAAGAGATATAAAGTAATCAATCAAGCAATCAATTAACAAACATTTATTAAGAAATGCCTACTATGTACCAGGCATTGATCCAGGTACTGAGAATACATAGACAATAACTTGGAACTTACACTGTTAATGGGGCTAAAAAAACAAGAAACTTACCAAATAACAGAATTTAGAAATCTCAAGACATTCCTAATCAGAGGAAGAGGAAAATCTATGCAAATAAGCATGATGAAAATATAATTTGCAAGGGCAAAAGAGATTTTTTATCAGATCTTTTAACTTCTGGGGTCAATTTCAAGTTGTAATAAATCCTGCACATTTCTGCAAGGTTCTACCCACTTCCTCTCACCGCCCCAATCAACAAAATGTTCTTCTGAAACCAAGCAAGAAAGAGGAAAAAAAGGAAAAAATGTACTCTAATATGCATTCTGAGTTCATTAGTTCTCCCTCTGGAGGTGGGTAACATACAGGACAGATGTTACAGAAATAGTAGGATGAAAGATTTCAGCTCAATATTAAGGGAGAAATCTCCCCAATAATTAGAGCTACCTAACATCAAGGGGGCTCCTTGGCTGAGAAGTGAGACCATCAGAAGTAATCTCTGTGTGCTATGAGAAGTTGGCCAAAACCATTTTCATTGTCTCTTTCAACATAGACTTTACGATGATTACTTAGGAAATGAGCATATCTATAAAGAAACAAGCCTTTGTTGCACACCCCAAAGGTAGCTTCTATTCTTTTCCTTTTTATATAAGTACTTTGAAATTTCTCTCTCTCTCTTTTTCAGAGAAACTGCATATGGAGCCTGGTAAGTCCAGTTTGTCCTCCCACATTGTCTCCCACACTCCCACTTCCCCCAAATCGAAGAATGCATATATTCAGGACAGCCTCTCTCTGGACTGGCACTGATTCAGATCAGGTTCTGTTACATGTCTGTAATAGACATTTCTAATTTCTCCAGATCTTGATCATCACTATTCAAGGAATCCTAGCCATTGTCCTCATTGGAGAGACAAGACTTTGGGGATAGAGGGGAGTAGCACTGAATAACCATCCAGGATACTCTTACATTGAAGCAGTTCTTCTATTCCCAGTACACGTATGAAGGCCATCGTGTCCTTACTGGCCTTCCTTCTGAATAGCCATCCCCTTGTGACATTTAAAAAGTTTGAGAGACATACTTTCTGAATAATTTAATCATTTTATTAATAATGCCAGCATTTTTAATAAAAGGTCAGACAATCATGGAAGTGGGCTTATGGCTTATATGCCCTGGGAAGAGGGGTGTTCTTGAGGGTCGCAATCAACTCTGATTGGTTAACAATTAATGACAGGTGGACTTTACAAAGAGAAGTGATCTCACTCCAGTGAGGGACCAAGAGTGACATCATGTCATACAGAGATTATCCCTAAACCTAGACCACCCCCAGCCTTGGGAAATCTAGACAAAGAATCTATATCCCCCCCCCAGAAAAGCTGGAGCTAGTTGGGTGGAGCAGCACATGCATCCATGCACACACACATACACATGCATTTCATCCCTCTCCCCTGGGATGACTCTGCCCTGTATTTCACTAAGGTTGGCATTTTCCCTGTATCCTCAGCATAGCCCTTGACTCCCATTCCCCAAGGAATGACCCTGCATGCACCCTTGGGTGCTGTCAACCCCACTCTCTTGTTTATCTTCAATCTCTCCTTGTCTGCTGACTGCATTTCTAACCACCAATTGGACATTTCAAACTGGATATTCTACATCTTAAACTCAACACAGTCAAAACTGAACTAACTGTCTTTTCTCCCAAACCCTCCCTTCTTTTTAATTTTCCTATTATTGTCAAAGGCCCCACCACCCTCCCAGTAACTGAGGCTCACCACCTAGGTGTCAGCCTAGACTTATCACTCTTCATATCAAATCTGTTGCCAAATCCTATTGATTTTATCTTCATATAATCTCTCATCTATGCCCCCTTCCCTCTTCTAACACTGCCAACACTGTTATAGGCCCTCTTTATCTTATACCTGGTTTATTATATCAGTTTCTCTGCTCAAATATCCTCCCCACTCCAATCCATCTTCCACTCAACTATCAAAGTGATCTTTCTAAAGTCAGATCTGACCACATTGCCTCTCTAGTCAATAAACTCTAGTGACTAAATACAAAATCTCTTGTTTGGCATTCAAAGTCCTCCTTACTCCCCATTTAACACTCTATGATCCAATGACTTTGGCCTGCTTGCTATTCCTTGCACAAAATGCTCCATATCAAGACTCTGAGCACTTTTCATGGCTATCTCCCATGCCTGGAATATTCTCCCTTCCCATATCTGCCTTCTGGCTTCCTTCAAGTAGCAAATAAAATCTCATCTTCAACAAGAAACCTTTCCTGATCCTCCTTAATGCTAATGTCTTTCCTCTGTAAATTATCTCCAGTTTATTTTGTATGTATCTTGTTTGTACAGATTTGTTTCCAGGTTGTCTCCTCCATTAGAATATGACTTTTTTAAGACCTATGACTGTTTTGCCTTTATTTGTCTCCTCAGTACTTATGTGCCTGGCATACTGTAGGAACTTAATAAATGCTTATTGACTGACTGGGTGACCTTTCCTAGAAATAGTCCTACTGATAACACTGCCAATGCTACTCTGATTCTCTTTGGCCTGTGTTTTCTGTTTCACCATCAGCTAAATTAAAAGTCATTTGTCCTGCCCATCCCATTGTGGCCAGGCTTGGGGAAGATGTCATCTTATCTTGTCATCTCTCCCCTGAGACAAATGCAGAGGACTTGAAAGTGAAATGGTTCCAGGCCCAGCTGTCTCCTTCTGTGCTCATGGATCAGGATACGGCTGATGAGAACAGAAAAACAATAGCAAAGAACAAAAGGACCTTACTGGTGACACATGCAATCAACAAAGGGAGAGGAACCCTGAAAATATTCCATGTTGATACATCAGATAATGGACAATATTGGTGTCATTTTGAACAAAATGGCATCCATTGGGAAGCCAGTTTGGAGCTAAAAGTAGCAGGTGAGGAGCAGCATGGCTTGGGATTTTGAACTGTCTGTAGGTGATAGGAATTCTTCTATGTGAGTGAGTGAGTGAGTGAGTGTGTGTGTGTGTGTGTGTGTGTGTGTGTGTGTTGATAAGTAAGGAAGAAAGGAGGAGGGGCTGTTATTATTGATGGATTCTTATAACATCTAGAGTTTCCCTTTGGCTCTGGGACTTTTCAAAGCATCCACAATTTTCCTCTGTGGGCCAGTTATGTCCCTTCAGTACTAATGATGGGCTCTTTTACCAAGTACTCCTGAAATAACAAGCTAATTGGAGATTCTTTTCTGGGTCTTTCACTCTATCAACCTGCTATAAACTCTGTTTTTCATTTTATGTCATGAACCCTTAAAGAAAATGTGAGCCTGGGTACAGAGAATATCAGTTTTAAATAGAAGGCCAGATTAGCTAGAAGGAAAATTTAAAAAAAAGGAAAGAAGAAAGAAATTACCAGTAACTTCACTTAAGTGGGAAAAAAGAATATAACTTACAAACTTTCTCTTCCTCTTTCTCCCACTGAAAAGACTTCAGGAAGATATTTGGGGTACTTAATCTAATAGTGACCATTGATTTCAAAGAAAGGTCCATCAAACTCTTATCCAATTTTGCTGCTTCTCCAATCCATGGATTCCAGATCTGGAGCAGTTGCTAAATGGTAGAAGAGAATCCTTCTGCAATTTGGTGCTGGGGCTTTCTGGCCCTTACAACAGAAAATAATAATGGAAGCTTTTCTCCCATATATCATGAGAGGCAGCTAGGTGACTTACTAACTGTGTGATCCTGGGCAAGTCACTTAACCCTGTTTGCCTCAGTTTCCTCATCCATAAAATGAGCTGGAGAAGAAAATGGCAAACTACTCCAGCATCTTTGCCAAAGAAAATCCCAAATGGGGTCACAAAGAGTCGGACACAATAGAAGCGACTAAACAACAACAAGATGGCACAATGGATATTGTGCCAGGCCTAAGGTCAGGAAGACTTGAATTCAAATCCAGCCTCAGATACTTACTAGCTATGTAACCCTGGTCAAGGCAATTAACCTCTGTTAGCCAGTTTCTTCATCTGTAAAATGGGGATAATAATAGCACCTAACTCCCAGGGTTGTTGTGATATCAAGTGAGATAACATTTGTAAAACACTTGACACAGTACCTGGCACTGTGTAAGTGCTATATAAGTGTTACCTCTGCTTGTTGTTGTTATATGTTGCTGAAGTGAAGAATCATGTTCATTGAATTCTACATTACCAGAACATGCATTTCACAAGATTTTGCTCCTTGAAAATATTCCTTTGCTATGCCTTTCCTTTAATTCCCTTGGCCTTATGCCATCCACTCATGTGCTACCAAGGTTTGACAAAACAACAACAAAAAACAGAATTGAGTTACCATTTTCTCTTTCTACTACTAACTCTGAAACAATTAGATCTAAAAATATCCTTTATACCACTCCAATCAATAAAGGTCTCAATCTCCCGGTCAGACTATGGAGAAGGATTATTTTGACTTGACTTAAACATCAAGGGTCTCTTTTTCTTCCCAGCTCACCCTTCCACCCTACCCCAGAAACCTCAATTACTTTTACCCCAGGCCCCAAACTCTTGTCTTCCCTCTTTCAGGTTTAGGTTCAACCCCTCAGATCTACCTGAAGAGAAATGAAGATGGAAGAGTTCAGCTGGTGTGTACTTCAGAGGGATGGTTCCCACAGCCACTGGTGTGGTGGAGGGAGGTTGGAGGAGAGAATTTATCTGCCCTCTCTGAGGTCCAGATACAAAGCACAAATGGTCTATTCCATGTGGAGGCATCTGTGGTGGTCAGAAATTACCTCCTGGAGGATGTGATCTGTTCCATCTATAACCCTTTGCTTGGCCAGGAGGTATCTGCTTTCTACAGTCCAGGTTAGTTCTCTCCATCCCATCTACCTAATCCAGGCCAGCACAGCATGTAGCCCATGGGCCATTTGTGGTCCACCAAAGTATTTCAGGCAACCTGCAAAAAAATGTAGAAGATGTAAAAGAAAGTAAAGATGTAACGAGTGCTTTGTTTGTGCCCTGCTTAACCCGCCTTCCACTAGTTACTATTGTGCCCGTCATGTAACTTGGCAGGTGGGTTGCCACTGCACACTCTCTCCTGTTTGTCACATGACTCGTGGCAACCAACCATTTTCAGTCTGTCTCTAGTCTGAGAGGAGCAAGAGTCATATCTTTTCACTGTGTTTTCGGGCATTACTAAATGTAAACAGTAAGAAAACCTGAAAAAATGTATTAAAACATGTACCACTTAGCAAAGTAATTTTTTAACATTAACATGATTCCATGATAAATAAAAATCTTAGTAAGTGTAATTAATTGATATTAATTGAAATTTCCCTTTTTAAATATGATTTATTTGCAAAATAGTTTAATCATTAATTATACCTTTACTTGGAAAGTGAGCCACTGAAAACCTATCTACAGCCCAAAGAAGTTTAGCCTACTTTAATATTGGCCCCTACCTACTGCCAAGTTGTGCAGGTCTGCCCTAATCCCTTTCCTACTTGTAAATGCATTTAGAGTCTTCTCAGTAAGCCATTCCTGAAACTTCCAACCACTAATGCCCTTCCTCTCAAACCACATTGTATTTAACTACTTTATATTCGTCTGTATTTTTCATATTTATATGTGTTCAAATATGTTTTTATTGTCTTTCCTATTAGAATTGCAAGAAAAGTCATAAGTAAAGGTTATTGTATTTGCATCCAGTGCCTAGATCAGTACCTGGTACATAGTAGGTGCTTAATAAATATTTATTGATTGATATGTTGGTATATGTGGCACCTTTCTTATTACTATTGACCTCTTTGAAGATATATGCCTTGCGATGGGATTCCTGAGTCAAAAGCAAAGACCTTTCTGTTCCTTCTTAGAGTAGGTCCAAATTTCAGCAAACATTTACTAAATGTTGGGGTTTGTTAAAAGCTGGATGCTTAAAGAGATAAAAAGATGAGCAAGGTAAAGTCTCTCCCCTTGAGAAGTTTAAAATCTAGTAAACTAAGATGATATACTCAAATAACTGTAATACTAAGTAGATTGATGAGAGATATGAAGATACCACACATGTTAAGTACTGTCATGAGAATAATCAGGTTTTGTGATTCTTCCAAGCTTTTCAGCTCCCATAAATCCCCCACTCATACAGGCCCCAGCCTCATACAGATGCACTTTAGATTCTGGGAGGTAGCATCATGTAAGGAAATAGTAAAGGAAAGAAACACATTAAGCATCTACTATGTCCAAGGCACTATAATGTTTGAGTTCTAGCTCTGACGCTCTATGTAGCTGCAACTCTCTAAACTTCTCAGATCCCCAGTTTCCCCATCTGTGGAAAGGTGGAAGTAGCATATTGCTTTCATCCTTACATTGCCTGCCTCACACACTTGTTGAGAAGAAAGGAATTCCTTAGCATAATGTCAGTCAGAGTTGTTAGTACTTCCCCTTCCCAGACTGGGAAGGTACAGGTAAGTTGGTAGAGGAGTTGGAGGAAGAAAGGATAATTAAATATTTTATTTGAAGACTCGGCTGAATAGTAAACAGGGAAGTCAGGGGCATCCTCCCTGACGCTGCTTTTGGATCCACAGAGAAGGAGGAAGCAGACCTAGAGCTTCCTGGGGGTTCACAAGGAACATCCCCAGGAGTACCTGAGCCATCCAGATCAAAAAGATGACACTAGACTCACTTCACACCTATAGTTAATGGACCCTGCGGTTCTTGTTTTAGAGTCACCACCACTGGGGATGACCTCTTCCTGGAAGATCCTACTCACCCTGGGGCTCTTCCTCTTCATTGCAACTATGGCTCTTACATGGAGCAAGTACTATAGAAAAGGTAATTTGATTTGGAAAAAAAAAGTTAATGCAAGGAGAGCTGGGTGACTGGCAGAGAACTGAGAAATGGTGTAGAATGTGAAATGTTGTGAGATCTCATCTCACTTTGAGCCTTTGACTCTCTTTCTCTCTCTCTCTCTCCCTCCCCTCCTCTCTCACATTTAATTTTCTTATTTTGAACTTGAATAGCAAATAAAATGAATCATTCAATATATATTGTATATTGTATTTACAACATATATGAAAATGTGTATATACATTATACATAATATGTATATACTTTGTATACATGAGACAAATTGTGAATCTCTTATGTAGTCTCTGTGTCTCTATGTCTCCCTCTTCCTTTCTTCTCTTCCTCTCCCTCTTCCTCTGTCTCCCTCTTCTTTCTCTTCTCTCCTTATCTATCCCTCTCCATGTCCTTCTATCCCTATCTTCTTTCTCTTCTCCTTCCCCTCTGTATTCTTCTTTTCATCTGTCTTCTATTCATCTTTCCCTTTCCTTTTGTGTCTCCTTTTCTTCTCACCATCTTTTTCTCCTTGCTTTCTCTCTTCTTTTTTTACTATGCCCCACTCCCCTCCTCCATTTTTTCCTAATCATCAGATCAGTAACCACCCAAAAACTGATGGTTAGAGTGAAAATGGGAGTAACAAAGATGACCAAGGTCAATGCTCAGAGCTCCCAGAATGACATGGACCACAGAAACCCCAAAGCAGTAATCTGATGATTATGTCCTAGACCTTCAGTCACCGTTGAGAGAACAAAGCAGCCAGTCCTATATTCTTGGAACCTAGTACAGAGCATTGTAACAGTACTTAACTACTAGAGGTAAGGTGGCATAGTGGATAAAGAGCCCACCTCACAGATAGGAAGATACAAGTTCAAATTCTACTTTTGACTCATACCAGCTGTGTGACTCTGGACAAATCTTTCAACCTCTCAGTGCCCTTGGCAACTCTCTATTACTTCAAAATTTTAGCAGTTTCTAATCTGCATTGGTAAAGGGAATTTCCTTATTGAATGTTCCCTACACTGATGGCATTACAACTCTGAGCAGGAAAAAATGAAAGTGTTTATTCAATATTTCAAAACGTCTGTGACTTCATCATTATAGATACTCCCTCTGCGGATACTGATGGCAATGCCCTCATGTCTCAGTCAAAGCATTTCCTCACCTGGAGGCCAACTCAGTGATGAACCTCTGCAACTTTAGCTAAGTTGGTCCTTGAACCACAGAGACAGAAGCTACCCCTAGACCATCAAAACTTTCTAACTTGATACAACCTACAAAAGCTTTTGTTCCACTGACATAGCCTTAGAAAACCCAGGTCATTCCCATTCTACAGCAAGAAGTTTGAGCAGAAGAAGAACAATAATACCTCATAATTATATATGATGTAACACAGGGATGTGCCAATAAATGTTTAACAACTGGCTTTCTTTTTAAAAAATTAATATACATAGGACATACTTTTAAGTTTAATTTTATTATTATCATTTTCTCCATCACTTTTTAAAGTCTAGACAATCAACAAAACAATAAATCATCATGATTTATTGTGATTTGCCTATTTCTAAGGTATAAATGATCACACTGAAAATTTAACAATCAGCTCTCAAGAGCTAGTGTGAGCCAGCTCAAGCAAATCACTGTTATGGTTATAAAGCACTTCTACTTTGTCTTGTTCTGTCCTCACAATAACCCTGTTATGAAGTAGAGTTGTCTCTATTTTGGGGATGAGCAAATTAAAATCCCCAGGGGTTAAGTCCAAAGTCATATGGATAGTAAGGGGTTAATCTGCCTCTAAATTGAGTATTCAGACCATGCTGTTTCCTGTTTAGTTGGCACACATATAACTCATACATCAGAGATAATGGCATGAAGGTCCTGAGTACATTTGGAGGAATTTCTGATAACTCTTGCTCATTGCACTTTCAAGAAATCTGGGAACTTCACTATGCAACATCAGCAAAAGTATTGTTACTAACCCTCTTTGCAAACAAATAGTTCACAAAGTTCAAAGAAGGGAAAGATCAAACATGTCAAAGAAAAATAAATAAACAAACAAATAAATAAATAAACAAAATGATAGATTTAAAGTTGGCCAAGATCATAAGAATACAGAAGTAGAGCTGGAAGAGAACCCAGGAGTTATCTAAGTCAATCTACTTGTTTTATGGTTGAGGAAACTGAGGCCCCAGGAGATTCAATGACTTGTCCAAAGACATAAAAGCATTAACTGTAATTTGAACCTTAGTCCTTTAGAGTGATTACAAGAGCCCCTGGAAAGTATCAACAACCAAGAATGAGCAACCCTTCCCTCAAGACCTAGCTAGCCTCAGGCACTTGTAGTCACTGATTTAGCAAAACAGCTGGGTGGTCTAATCAAGTGCTACCCTGGAGTCAGGAAGATCGGAGCTTAAAGCAGTCCTCAGAAACTTACTAGCTGGGCTTTTTGCTGCCTTACTTTCCTTAGCTCTACAATAGGAACAGTAAGAGTACTACCTCCCAGAATTGTTGTGAGGATAAAATGAATTGATATTTCTGAAGCTCTCCATAACTATCAGCAACTGTTATGTTTCTTATAGTTTCTCTATTTGGTGATTACAGCGCCTCTCATTAATTCCCAGCAGGTGGCACCCATCACCCAGTTCCGTTCACCTCAGACCATACAGACAATAAGATGCTTCAGAGTTTGATGTGACTTCTTTATGGGTGTCATGAATATTACCAGACTGAAAAATTCTTTAGCTTGGTTGATGTCAAACTTACTCGCAGCAGGAAAGTGATTTCCAATATTGGCATCTAGAGGCTGAGGTTGTGCGCCTAGCTCCATACTAGCATTTTATCCAGAGCCAGAAAATAGAAGTTATTGAACACACTTTGTCCAATCAAAACTGGTTGAGTCAATGAAGGAGGAGCTTGCTTTGGTCTCAAATCAGATTTAGTAGGATTCTCTTCTGAAAGCTCTCTAGGCTAGTCTGAGATCCTGAGCTTAATTTTCTCTCTTCAGTTTATCCCAGTCTCCAAAGGGGTGTTTATTTCAGTGTCACTCTACCTAGAAGAGAAGACAGGAGGCATTAAATACAATGTCTGAAGGCAGTATGATATTACGGCAGCAGAGTAGGGTATTATTACTAGTGGTTGCTAACATTTTAAAGCTGTCTTAAATTGGGCAAAACACATTATACATATATGTGTATGTATGCATCTATAACATATACATATATATACATATGTGTATATCCCTATTTACTCTTAGAACAACCTTGAGAAGGAGGTACTACTATATTCCCATTTTACAGATGTGGATACTGAGTCAGAGAGAAGCTAAGTGATTTTTCCAGGGTCGTACAGCTGGTAAGAGTCTGAAGCAGGATTTGAATTCCAGTCTTTCTGACTCTACATCCAGCATTCTATCCATTATGCAGACAAATCAGGAAACCTAAATTCTAGCCCAGGCTTTGTTAAAACATAGTTAGTTTGACTTTAGGCAAGGCAGTTCAGAGCCTATCTCTTCACTAATAAAATACGGCAAGTAATAACTCCCTAATGGAGCTTCTCCTAAATGTTACATAGCTTGAATAAGCAGAGCTATAACAGGAAATCTTTTCATTTCTATGCTCCACCCCCTCCATCACCTCTCTCAAGAGAATATATCCAGCTGCATCTCTGCCCTTTCAAACCAGACTTTTTCCCATCTAAATATTATAGTCCCTCCAAGCAGAAAAACAGCAATATATATGTGATTATACATATATATGTACATATGTACATATATAATATACATGTAGGAGATTGGTACCATTTCTTCTATCTTCCTCTTGACATTCAAACTCAGTTTCCTTTTGAATCCCACCCTCTGGCTTTCTCCATCAAACCTTTTGACATGGACATGCCCCTGGTTCTTGTTTATCCATGCAGTGAGAGGGATAAAAGTTCTAAATCCTCCCTGCACAACTACCCACCCAGTGAAAATATTATAAACCTGAAATACTGCATAGGATACAGTTTTGCTGTTGTTCAGTCATTTCGTCATGGCTGACTTTCTGTAACCCCATTTGGAGTTTGCTTAGCAAAGATACTAGAATAGTTTGCCATTTCCTTCTCCAGCTCATTTTACAGATAAGGAAACTGAGGCAAACTTGCCTCAGGGTCACACAGGTAGTAAGTATCTGAGGCCAGATTTGAACTCAGAAAGATGAGTCTTCCTGACTTCAGACCCAGCACTCAATCTATTATTCCACCTACCTGCCCATGAGATCTCATTGCCCAGGGTCACATAGCTTTTAATTATCTGAGGCTGGATTTGAACTCAAGTCTTTCCAATTCCAGGTCTAGCATGTTATCTACCACTTAGTACATACAACAGCATAATAAATAGCACCTATAATAAATGTTACACATACATTAGAGTCTTTACAGCATTAATTTTCTTCAAATATGCAACAGAAATCAATAGCGCTTTACTTTCAGAATCACAGAATGAATTTGAGAACTAGAAAGGATCTCAACGGCCAACTGGTCTAACTTACACATAAAGGAATTCCCACCATAACATATGCAACAAGTGGTCATCCACCCTCTGCTTGAAGCCCTCTAAAGAGAGGAAACTTGCCACCACTAGGACTAGGCAGCCCATTCCACTTTCACACTGCTTTGATCATTAGTGAGTTTTCCTGACAAGTCTAAATTTGCCTCTTTGTAATTTTCATTGATTGCTCTTATTTCAGTACTCTGGGACCAAATAGACCATATCTAACCCCTCTTCCCCATGACAACCCTTCAGACACTTCCACAAAGTTGTCATATCTCCCTGGGTCTTCTTTTCTTCAGGTTAAACATTTCTAGTTACGTCAACCAAACTACATATGTCTTGAACTCAAGGCTTTTCACCATCCTGGTTGCCCTCCTCTAAAACACTCCACCTTATCACTATTCTTCTTGGCACTGAGAGCTGAAAATATTTTTCCAGATGAGTTCTAATATGAGCAGAGTACAGTGGGATTATCTCCTCCCTATTCCTAAAAGGTATACATCTCTTAAC